ATGCGGCGGAGAGGTTTGCCAAATCGAGGGACCAGACTTTTGCAACACTGGCGACAAAAAGGAAAAAAAAGTTGTTGGGTAGCGTTGTTGGATCATTTGCATTTGCATTTGCATTTGCATTATCACCATCACCAAGACCATGCACGAATCACACTTTAGAATCATGTCGATATCCCAAACCGGTATTTTACTGCATATGGGAGGTGTGCTTCACGATATGAATGGTCACCAACGTGTTTCGCGTCTCGCTTTGCAGCATTTGATTCGTTGGGTGGGAGTTTTGAATCATCCCAATAAGGCATGAGAGAAAAGCACATCACGGAAAGGCTGGAAGGGTTTGTTAAACAGAAGCTCTCTTGGATCACAAACTGTGTTTCCCTTTGGATTCAGATATTATGCTCGGGAATGTGATTCGCATCGCGAGTCAGAGATGTCGCATTAGATCGTAAGATGGTACATAGCTACTAGCATTGGATTGTGAATGAGACTTCTCTTTTCTCTCTTCGCTCTTCTCTTTGGTGCGGCAGGGCTGACGGGGTGAGGTACGTTAGGTACGCACTAGGTAGAGGTAAAGAAAGTAGGTGAGGTGGGCGGTGTATTTTAGATATTAATGGTCAATGTCATCAATAATGGGTATACGACTGTGGACCATTCATTCATCTGACAAACGTCGTCAGGACTCAATACTAATCAATAGGGAAAATAATATCTAGACTCTAGAGGTAGATAGGGCTGGTCCTAAACTTTGTCTATTTCTCTGTCCATCAAATTGAAATGCTCAAAATAGTCTTTCAATAAATCTATCTGTGTGTTAAGTTTTGGGATAGATTTAGAAAAATGTCTATTGAAATCCCGAGGTGATTTCTGGAATAGGTTCTAGAAATAATGTTTTAGGTTTCAAGCAATTTAGCAATTTATTAGTTTCGTTGTGTCTGTCGGTCGCAATTTCCGTCCATCACCACCATTCACCATCCACCCTCCACCCTCCACCATCACAGGTTGGAGATCCACCAACAATCATTCATGTTTTGCCTGCCACGAATCCATTGGAAAATGGTCATCGACGGCATCTACCGTAAGTCCGTAACTTGTGCTTGTACTGTTGTACTTTTGTGAACCTTGGTAGGTACAGTAGTAGTTTTAGGTTGTAGAGCTGAATGTTTATTGTGTTGGTTGGCATTAGCATTAGCATGAGCAGATGCGGTGGAAGTAACTAGGTATCCATCCATCTAATCACCTCTGAGTACCTATGTACCTAGAATTGTATTGTTGTATGCCAAACGTTATTGTACCACTTTACATACCTAGGTACTGTAGGAAACAACGCAGATAATAGCCCAATCTGAGGTAACCGTGATACAATGTTGGAATTTGAGAAAGGTAGATACTAGGTACTCTAGATACTAGATACTCATAAACCTGTAACTCCTCCTACCTTCGTGCAGGCATAATCTAGCTTCATTTTCTCCTTCAAAGCCACCAAAAGCCTCTTTTCAAAGCCAAAGACCCTGACCGTTTCTTGTACGGAGCGAGTGTTGTGTCGTATAAATTTGTTCGTATGGATAATATAATAATGCTAATAATGCTATAAATTATGATATGATGCCACTCCCACTCTACGCTCTCTACTCTAGTCAAATCATTCGGGCTTATGCATGCATGCACAATGCGCTTCGGTCGTGCACCTTTCAATCATCTCGCCGCTTTTTGCTGTTGGAACGAGAAGAGAAAGAGAAAAGGAAAGAAAATGGGATAAATCATCATCATTATCATAATAATAACAACAACAACAATAATAATGAAAGTGGCTTGATGTTCATTGAATGGCTCCTCAAGTCAATAAGTAATGACTATTGGTCATGAACTAATTAACTAGCTAACTAACTCACTCCGTAACTAACTAGCTAACCCACAGAGTTACGATGACCGCCTCTTCGTCCATGGCCTTTCAATACCTACCCAGGGAATTCAAAAACTGTCCGTACAAGGACCCTAGTATTGCGTGGATGTAGTTTGCTCTATTCCATGTCTAGTAATATATTTCCTCTGCCCTCTCTCCACTCCCACCTCACACCTGGCATAGTATTATGGTATAGTGCTACCCGAGCCACCAGAAGGAAATCCACTATGGCCGCTAATCCACACAATCCGTGTATTAGTTCAAAAAATCAAAAAAGAAAAAGTTCCCGAACAATCATCACTTTCTCAATGGGCAATAGCGTCGAACACGAAAATGCTAGGATTCCGAATCCACAACTGCACTAGATTTAGAAATTTCCATACTACTCCATCAGACTATTCGTCCATCCCAACTCAATCGCTGCCGGTTCCCCCAGACAGGGTCCTGGACGTCGACTCACCACATCCACCTATCTCACCCACTCATTGCTTTCTTGTTCCTGGCCCACCCGTTTCCCATGCCCTTTCGCCTGAGACTTGGCCTGTTGGTCGCACTGCCTATCTTACCCTCTATCACTCTCGTTGATCTTTCGAGATCTTTACTTTATTTCCAGGGTCCCCGTCACCACCTTCGTTTGTTCATCTTGTCCAGGTTTCCCTCATCGCTACCATATTCTTCTTATACCGCCTAACGGTTTCCTTTTTGTAACTCAATCTTTTGGAACATCTTCGACTTGTGCTTTTCATATTATAAGCCTTCTCGATCTTCTTCTGTACCTTCCTTTGGCATCCTGCTATTGCTCTTGCTCTGTTATCTTGAACTCAAACGGAATCCAATCCTCGATAATCTACCACACTGCACTGAACCATTAGGTCCATACCAATCCTTCCTCCGCTTGACGAGCCTATGTATAATCAGTTATTCGAACATTATTATTATTAGACAGATCTCTCTGCAGCTGTTGTCCGTCCCTCTTTACCTGCGAAGCTTTGTATTACTTGATTTAGCATCGACATCTTGACCAACGCGGTCTGCCAACACAGTACCTTTGCAAGTGTACTATAATCTGCCAGACACACCCAACTATAATCCAATCGGTATGTTGTGCTTGGATACAATGGATCCGAGGAATGCAACTGACGTTTTGCAGACCAGCCGATAACCCACCATGGACTATTACGCACAATCAATGGGACAATCCCCATTTTTCTACTACAACCCAGACCCAAAATCAGACAACCGTCAACATGGTCACTTCTCTCAACAACCAAGCCATATGCCAATGCCTATGTATCATCAGCATGCTCAATCAATGCCTTCAACACCAATGTACTCCAGACCAAACTCTTCCTCCTCGCAACCTTCGATGCAACAGAAGATCTTCAACTCTGGATACTTTGGAAACATCACACCAATGGCTTCTCCACGACCAATGTACCAAAAGCCCACCATCTTGATCCAGGACCACTCCCCAAGATTGATCTTGGACTCGGACAACGAACACGACATGTATTATTACCCTGCAACCCCACCTCTTTCAGCATCTGGAAGCGTCATGAGCAGCCCATCTAGCTGTGACATCCTACCCACTCCAGTAAACAGTGTATTTTTTGGTGCCGAGAGTTTTGAAGGCGTTAAGGAAGGATGTGAGAGTGAAGTTCAATCGGAGAATCTTGCTGGTGAATGGGCTCGTTGCGGGTCTCCACCTATGACACCAGGTATGTTATCACTGATTACTCTTTATCCCTCCCACATCCACATGGTGAAGACGGATAACGACAATGGATATCGACAATCATTGTGAATAATTGCACACAAATTGTTACTGTTAATCAACAAGAACAATTTGTTGCATTTAATTCAAAAAGAGAATTGATTTCCATGGCACGCTTTCTCATTCTCTTCTCCCCTTGAATACATGTACTGACGAGGCTACCAATTTTCAGTGTTCATCCACCCAACCTCGCTTAGCTCTCACGCTAATGAACTCCTATCTGCCACTTCTTGCCCTTCGCTTTCCCCTTCTCCTTCCCCTTATTCTCGCTCCGTCACATCTGAACAATCCGATTTCGACTTCTGTGATCCCAGAAACCTTACAGTTAATTCCTCAATTTTACCTCCTACTTCAAATCCAATCTTGAGCTCGGCCCGTGAATTCTCATCGTCAACCTTACCAACATTGTGCTCTGAGGACGACGAACACCAATACATGTTAGGGGGTAGTGACGCATTCGCCAAAATCGAAACACGTGCGACGTTCGATTTCGCAACAACCACATCCAACCACGGCCTCCCTACCTTTGACCATATTTCAGATCTCGATTCTGAAGACGAATTTGTTAATGGTCTCGTGAACTTCCCTTCTACTGACAACGTCCAATTCTTCGGTAATAAAAGACAACGAACTGTATCTGATCTCGTCTCCCCTACATCAGAGACATTCATTAGTGAAGACGATTTCGAGGACTTTGATGACCTAGAGACCGAAAGATTTGCAGTCGCGTGCCTTCCAAGCCCACCTGCTTCGGGCTCCGAAGCAGAACCCAAAAAGGAAAAGCGTACCAAGAAATCCAAGATCGTTCATTGTGACGAAGACAGCTCGGAATTTGATTCTATGGTCCGATCCCGAAAATTCACTGTCCCAATGAATAATCTATCCGGTGCTCAGCCACAAGAGACCTCTGCCGACCATCAACAAACTTCCGCCGCTCCAAGTCAATCCGGTTCTTCGGAAAGCAACAACATGATGGGCTCATCAGGATCAGACGCCGCCAACACTCATCAAGCACCAGTCAACCGTCGCGGTCGCAAACAATCTTTAACTGAGGATCCTTCCAAGACTTTCCACTGCGAACTTTGCAACAGACGTTTCCGCAGACAAGAACACTTGAAACGCCATTACAGATCCCTCCACACCCAAGAAAAGCCATTCGAATGCCATGAGTGCGGTAAGAAGTTCTCCCGCAGCGACAACTTATCTCAACACTCACGCACTCACGGCAGTGGTGCCATCGTCATGGGCGTATTGGAAGATGGCGAAGTTCCCGGCGACATGGAATCTGGCAGCGATGGGGAGCAAATAAGAGCCCTGGGCAGCGCACTCTTTGCCGCGGCCGCTGGCGCATCTGGCAGTGAAAGCAGTGGCACCGATAGCGATTCCGACAGCCAATCCCGCAAGAAGCGCAAGAGGTCGGAGTAAATACTGATGTATGAATACTTGATTGGCCGAAGTACGCCGTTTACGAATCTTACGAACACAAAAGTTACAACATCCGGCGCTCATATTCGGACCTTCACTTGTTATGTGATTTGGTCGTTAGGGATAAAGGTTACATTGACGCTGTCATGATGATTTGGGAGGGTTGCTTTGAAACACAAAAGTCACTGTCCCGTGTATGTGCTGCTATTTGCAGACACTTTTTCCACCATTCTTGTACTTTACTTTTACTTTTTTTTAACTTTGTGTATCACTTGTCAATTTAGCGTGATGATCGATAGTTAGTTGAGCAAACTTTCGAGCCGTGTATTTTGATGATGGGGATTCACTTTTCTTACATTCGTTGTAATAACTATCAGGGGAGCTGTGGATGGAAAGCGGGCGACCGTCTCTGATCTTTTGCTTTTACAATTTTCTCTTCCAAATAACTCAGGTAGCTTTTGGGTCTTGCCTTGTGCCGGCCAGAATGTTGAGATATACCAACAGACTACAAATAACACAATACAAAATACAAACATAAACATAAACATTTCTCTTCTTATGCAATTATCCAAAGTGACCTATCTAATGATTATTGTGATGACTTACTTTGAATCAAGACTCACGTTTAGTACTTGCCTGAGGCATCGATCAATCAATTCACAAGTTCTTCATTTTTGCCTAACAGAAAATTCGAATGCATCCCAATGTATAACATTTAACACAGCAAATTATCACTCTCTGAATAAATCATTCCACGTAATATACATTGCTAAACCCTCCTTCCCCTACAGATGTTGTCCTGACAAATTTCGCATCTTGCCACTCACTACCAATATAATATAACAAAAAACCATGACCGAGTCTCTAAATGTGATCGCCTTAATATCAGGTGGAAAAGACAGTTTCTTTTCAACAATCCATTGCATTCAAAATGGACATAAAGTCATCGCATTAGGAAATCTCCATCCACCTATTACGGAACCTCAATCCAAAGAAAATATTAATAGTAATATTAAGAAGGATGAAATGGATCTTAATAGCTTCATGTATCAGACGGTGGGACATACAGTGATACCGTTATATGAGCAGGCGTTGGGTATTCCGCTGTATCGACAGTCTATTGTTGGGGGTGCTGTTCAGAAGGGTGCGAGTTATGCTCATGCGGAAGTCGGGAGTTCTGGGGCTGGGAAGTTGGGACGGGGGGAGAGTCATAAGGGTGAGGATGAGGATGAGACGGAATCTCTCGTTCCCCTGTTAAAACGCATCATGCATGCACATCCGGAGGCAAATGCTCTCAGTACAGGCGCTATCCTCTCCACCTATCAACGAACGCGCGTGGAATCCGTAGCATTACGAATGGGACTAATTCCTCTATCGTTCTTGTGGCAATACCCGAGTCTTCCGCCTAGAATGCAAATTTCTCTTCTGCAGGATATGGAAATAGCGGGATTAGATGCGAGGATTATCAAGGTGGCGAGTGGTGGGCTCGATGAGAGTTTTTTGTGGGAAAATGTGGCGAGTGCGAAGGGAATGCGTAGAGTGGAGAGGGCGACGATGAGATTTAGTGTTGATGGTGATGGGGCTGTTTTGGGTGAGGGTGGAGAATTCGAGACGTTGGTTTTGGATGGGCCGGGTTGGTTGTTTAGGAAAAGGATAGAGGTTGAGACGGGAAATTCGAGGATTGTTAGGGAAGGTGGTGGTTCGGCTTGGTTACAGATTGGTGATGCGTCTTTGGTGGATAAGGAAATTGGTGAGGATGAGGAGATTTCCTGTAGAGCGCCGGAATTGCTTGATCAGAGGTCGTTGGAGATTCTGTCTGCATTGAAAAGGAACAAGGATTTTGACGACCTTTCTGAATCAAGTATGACGGACGGCGAATCACCGACATCGTCAGCTTGGGAGCTCAAATCCCCTATTTCCAACAAGGTTGAGAACAGTAACATATTACATTGGACAATTGTACCAGAAAATGGTTCTGGTTCTGGTTCATCAATATCAGAGGAAGCGGAAAATGTTGTAGAAAAGATAAGAGAGCGACTTGATCAAGCATCATTATCAACCACCTACATCGTTTCCACCATGATTATGCTACGCTCAATGGAAGACTTCACAACAATCAACCAGGTATTATCGACCCCAAATTTAATATACTACACATGAATATATCTCTAATAAATTTCCAGATTTACGGTACCCTTTTTCCCCATCCCAATCCACCATCTCGCGTAACTATCTCCTGCGGCTCCTCGATGCCCCTGAACAAATCCCTAATCATTCACCTCACACTGCATATTCCATCAGACAGCTCACCACCCCGTAAAGCTCTACACGTACAATCACGTTCCTACTGGGCGCCTGCAAATATTGGACCATACTCACAAGCCAGTTCACTCCCCTCCTCGCAATCATCCTCTCAATTTTTCACCATTGCGGGGCAAATCCCTCTAATCCCTCACACCATGCTTCTTCCCACCTCATCATTCCAAACCCAAACTCTACCATCACCTACCTTCCACATCTCTACAATTCTCTCCCTCCAACATCTCCTTCGCATCGCAGACGCCACATCCATCAAATGGTTCACCAGCGCTTGCATTTACATTCCCTCCCAGCATCCCAACGACCAATACTCTTTATCCACCCGCTCAAAAATCGCCTACCAAGCCTGGAAACATATTCATACCCTTCAAAACCCAGAATCCGATGACGACGAACCGCGCGATCTATGGGAGGAAAAATTCCGCTACTCAAACACGTCTCCTTTAGCGACCGAAACAACCTCGACTACATATCCCGATCACGCGCTCCTACAAGCGGATATTACCACCATACCGTCATTCTGGACTGCAGAGGTTGATTCCTTGCCCCGTGGAAGCGAAGTAGAATGGCATGCGCATTTGGGGATTTGTGATGGTCTTATCACTGTTCGTTTCCTTTCTTTATCTGTCGTTTACTTTCTGAGAAGTATGATAATAGCTGACGATTTTCGTTTCAGATCTTGGGCTCCGAAACACAAGGGCATTTTAATAGCTCTCTTATAACGTCAGAGATGCGCCATACCGTCCTTATGTTTCCTCATGATAGTATTCCCGAGCCTAGTGTTCTTGTAGATAATCACATTGACTATTGCCTACTCCAGTTGGTCTATGTGGATACATCGCTTGTCGATATGAGTACCCTCTTAGGTGAAGGATGGGGAGGTAAGGGGGTGATACCATGTAAGAGTTTATGGGATGGTGAGGGGAGAAGATTAAGTTCTGTGATTGTTTATTGGGGGGATGTGAGGTAGAATTTAGAGAATATTTATGATGACAAGAATGGTTTTTTTTTCGCATAGTGGATGAAGATTCAGTATCCGAATTCATGACTTGATCCGGATATCATAGCTTCTTAACCCTTGAAGTTGATAAGTTCAGAGCAGTCACATCTACCATGGAACTCCGACTTGTCCATTTCCTTGTTATTTCTAATTTGTTAGCAATAGTATCCACGGAAACTTTTGGATCCGTAAACGTACCATCAGTCGGCGTACTCCCTCTTCCAAAGGTATTGAGCTACCCGGAAGTATATCGTATTGAAGGCTCTCATCACCTTAATCGTATGACATAATATCTGTCAAATAAGCCGACGTCGTCTTTCCTGAATGTTATTTCACCACTGAAGCTACACTTAAAGCCGCGATACAGAATGACCCAATTGAAACCTCCCCAGGTAGCTGGTAACTTCGACATCTGTGACTGATGCGCTCCAATCCCGGCGGTTTGTTACATCAGTGTTGCTGGGTATCTGTGAATTTGCGTGTAAATTATCATAGATTGCTATGATCTGTGGTGTTGGCTGGTTAAGTGATAGGAGAGAGGGTATGGTTTAGCAGCCAGTTGACACCGCTTACGTCAATGTTGGCTGTGGCACTTTAGGAGAATATTCCAATTTGATCACGAGTGGTTATAAAAGTAGGGTCAATGAAGGCCATATAAAGACTGAGGAATGAAAGGAAAGTGTGAAAGTATACAGTATTGTAGATGGCTGAGGTGAAGTGGGGATGATAGGATAGGGTTGCTGAAATTAGGTTACTGTAATGTAGCTGGTTGCTAACTCATGTATGGAAACCCAGGTCAAAGTTATGAAGATGTAGTAAGTAGGAAGGATATGAACTAAGGCGATCATTTGAGCCGTACCTAGCTACGGATATAAAGAACAAAGACTGTAATTTGTTGGTGGACTCTCGCATATTGATGCATTCATAGGCGCCATCTTTACGCAAACGAATAAACATATTTGTGCATATCGTAGACAATCGCCCACCAAATGAATTCTATGCGAATTCCTGCCCAGAAATCTTTTCGGGGCAATTTTTTGTGGATGACTCTATCATCCACACACCACAGAAATGAGAATCAGAGTGCAATACGGCGAAAGCAATGAAATGAACAACAGACGTACATTTCAGATCAACTCACCTTGAAAGTTAAAGACACAGTGGAGTGCTACTCCTGCAGGCTTCCCTACCAAGACTAATAATGGAAACATGCGAATAAATATAGAGCGTGAGATGCCGAGTTTGCGAAGTAAGCGATTTGGTCTCGACGGAGGAGATGGTACAAGTAAAAGAGCCTGGTGATATGGATCAAAGCGGCAGTGGGTCCGGCGCTTACAAGAACTGCGCAATATGTATGATGAATGGCGATCTCGCTGGATCATGAAAATGGGCTTCTGCTGAAATGATGGCATGAAGACAACGAGAAAAATTGAATTTGGCTGTTATGTCTTCTCGACTTGGGAAATTTCCTGACTTCCACACAAGACAAAAAGTAGCCGAGCATGAAAGTGTTTGCCAAGATTGATGCTTTGACGATTGATAAACATCACCAAATACGGAAGTTCCTGTGGAAGTCTAGGGATATCGATGCAATCAATCACATCAACATACCTAGTATACTCCGCACTTCCGGTGGACTACCACGCGAAAGTACGAAATACATCCCGCAATGTAAACCTACTCTTTTTATCAAAGGTATCTAAGCCTAGAACTCCAGATCTGGACTAAAGTAAGAGAATATCACGAATCCTCCAAGCTTGAAGACCTTTGAATGTGAAATCTGAGTTTAGAAATTGCACGGATCCGGAATAGAAGCTGGGGATTTATCGAGCCGCGTCGAGCCGAGTTCACAGGTGTCCCTCGGAAAAGCCACCAAGCCTGAGGCACCGCGCATTACGACATGACTAAAATGAATTTCTATGTGTCATCGCGTCTTGCTCCAAACCGAACAAGCAACGCCAGCAGCAGCATCAACAAGCTTTCCTCGCACAAACTCGGCATCTCGACATCCATCACCCCATGCGCCATGGCGACACGGAGATTCTGCGCTTTCCATAGGTTACATGTGGGCTGCTGTTTCAACTCACATAATATCGTGGATATATTGTTCATCGGCCACTTCTACTAGGAGCCCTCTACCCCGGATTCCGGATCTCCAGCTCTGCTTCAGTCTTTCCCCATTTTCATGGCGCTTCGTGCAGTCGTGAATCATGTCGTGCCTTGGTGTTCTATTTTTGTGACCTATGCTCACCGGAGATGTCGAGACTTGGGATTTTTCCTTATGTCATATAGGTGGAGTGAATCATTCATTGCTTTGTTTGATATTTTTTTTTTGGTACATGACTTTTCGCGTTTTGCTTTATGCGCGTTTTCAACTTGTTTCTCGGTTTGTATTATTTTCTATGTAATATATAAATTGCAAATCTCTGGGCTTCATTTGGATCGTTTTCTTTCTGTTTTGGTCACCAGTCACCAGTGTTCATGATCAAATGTCATGAACAATGTCCGACTTAGATTTCGACATAGACAAATATCTCAACCGTTTTGTCCCTTCTCCCAGACTTTATATACTTCCCACTCCCATTTCTTGGTTCCTGGGGTATCGAAGTACGCCGAGATCTCGAACTGGTAGTCTTGTTATTTGGTTTTGGGCTTTCATTGGCGCCTTCTGCGGTATTGCAATCGTCGAAAATGTTTACCGATCTGCATACTTCAAAGAACGCGGCTCTCCGTTGGTCATCGCAAGTCTTGTATGCAACCGAAATCCACATGAGGCAGCGTTATGTCTAATTTTAATGCTAGGGCGCTGCCGCAATCCTAGAGTACAACACCATCGATTCCCCTCTTTCTCAGCCACGAAATGCGGTCCTGGGCCAACTATTCGCCTCTCTCATCGGTGTCGCCATAACAAAATTATTCCAACTCAATGCTGACTTTGAAAATCTACGATGGTTAGCTGGTGCTCTTTCGGTCGGCGTAGCTTCTGCGGTGATGGGCTTGACCAATACGATTCATCCACCGGCTGGGGCCACTGCTTTGTTAGCTTCTACGTCACCCGAAATCACGGAGATAGGATGGTATTTGATACCCTTGGTCGTGCTGGGAAGTGTTCTTCTGGTCGCTACTGCTTGTGTGGTGAACAATATTCAGAGGACTTTCCCCATCTACTGGTGGACGCCGCATTCGCTGAGCAGTCGAACCGAAGATGTTGAGAAGTCTTCCGAAAGTACCAATGGAGTGGAGGAGCCTGCCGAAGTCCAGCAGACTCACGAGGAGGAAACGATTAGGATCGACAAGCATCGCATCGTGATACCCGATTGGTTATCACTAGAGTATGAAGAGAGAGCGATATTAGAAGTGATGCAGACCAGGCTAAAACGAGGTTTAAAAAATTCAAGGACGGGAGGAAGTGATCGGACATTGGTTAGATAAGGCTATATAATATTGAATATAGAGGTCATTCGACACAATGTATAGTTTGGGTTGCTCTAAGGTAAGCTCTTTGAGTATCAGTGATAGCTATCCTCTTCTGCATTCTGTTATATATGCAGTGATATTATGAGCTAGTTCATAAATTTGCACATCACCTACTACCCTACTGATGTAGCAAATTATTCTCTCACCAATTTGCCTCAGGAATTGCCGATGTGCAACAAAATTTGGCGTTCATCCCCACATCCCGCATGATGGACCGAAAACATGTTGCAGCTCCGCAGTCCTCGGCCCTTAGGCTTCAAGGCATCTCAACTTGCCGGATACCCGACGTCTTCTCCGACTTGATCAAACCGTATTCATTCAATAGCTGGAATATACGCCACAAGGGCCTTGCTTGCTCCCTCCATGCAATATTGCACAAGTTCAGCTTTCTTTCCTTCCGGTAACAATGCAGTAATTTGTCTGAGATCGCTGGTTCGTGGAAGATATAACGCCATATCCATCGTTTTGCATGCCTCGTGAATATGTTGCACAGAATATGGTTGCATAGTACTTAGATCGAATATATTTTCAGTGGTATAGCCCGGTCCTCCCCAGGGCGGAGATGCGAAAATAACAGTTTCTGAAGGATTGATAGAAGAAGCGTGGGTCTTGAGGTATTCGAAACAGTCACCGTTAACCCAATTTATGTTTGTGGCACCGTAAATGTAGGCATTGTTTTCAGCGCAGGCGATAACCGACGGATCTTTCTCAATGGCTATGATATGGGCCCAACGATTGGAGAGAGCGAACGCAATCGAGTTGCCACCAGCCCCAGCGAACAGATCGATAATGGTTGTTTTTGTTGGTGACGTAGAAGAGGCATAGTCCTGGGCGATCTGACTGTGGACAATTAGTGATAAATAAACAGATTCGAGTGTAGTTGGAAACCTACGTAGCTACTGGTTCAGGAGTAACGCCGAACCAAGCATCATCTGTCATAAAAATACCGTAGTCATATAGTGAAAACACGCTATAACGCTGCTGCCAGTATCTAGAAAAATGTCAGTGATATGAATGAAAATACCACAGAATGTGACTTACTTATGTAAATCCCAAGGTACTTCTTTCAAGGAGGTATAATGTGTGCACTTATCGTCTAGTTGAAATTGCGCAACATCACCATCTTCTTGGCTCTCTTCGTAATCTACCGTGGCTGGGTGTCCATGCGGAGTGCTGCCGTTGACAACCATCTTGAAAAATTATCAGGGCTAAGACCAAGTTCTTGATGCAATCCTCCTTGTAGACTTTTGTTGATAGAGCTGCTGTTAGATCAATATTCCTTGAGTTGAAGTGTGTGTGCTGAAATGTGTACTCACTAGAACTCTCGAGCTTTTGAACAACGCCTTCACAATCGCAAGGTTCGCCTGCTTTTTACTGCTTTGACGCTGAATTGCTTCCAAAATCGCACGCAGATGACGGACTAGCTTTTGGTCAGACAAAGGAGAGTAAATCCAATTTTTGGGCACAGAAGCGTAAGTCACGATTTTACTCTGACGAGAAAGAAGTTTCGAAATTGGTGATTTGACAGTATTTGATTGAACGGCCCCCTCCCGTGGAATAGGGTCCGAGTTCTTGCTTGATATAAGACGTGAATCCAGGCACTTGCGATTCGAACCTCTTGACTCTGGTACGTCGTCTGGCCGAGTTCTACTGAGGGATGGAGTTCTAGGTCGAGGGACGTGTTTGATTTCTTGGAAAGCACGGCCTGATCGAAGAAATCTCGAACCAGATTTCGTAGCAGAGGGGTCTGTTAACGAAGGTGATGATATTAGTTCCTCTTTACGACCAAACTCAGAAGGTACCACCTTGCTCAACAGGACAACAGCTGATGTTTCTCTGATAATAACCTGGGTAATCACCTTAAGTCGCTGTTCAGAATTCGACCTGCCAACTGATGCCAAGGGGCGAGGCAATGTAGGAATTGCAGGTGCAAGCAGTAGAGTTTCTAAAGATCGTCGTTTCTCCTCTTTCTGTTGCCTTGTCCGTACACAAGGGGAGAGAGTACTTTGAGACGAGTTAAGATTCGGTCGATCGCGTCCAGCCGACACGAGTAGATCTTGTATTTCTTTTTCCAAAAATGAATTTCTTTTAACATTCATATGAAATTCTTCCTTCTCCACAGCAAGATCCTTCAGTCACAGCCTTGCTGAACTAAGTGTGTAGAGCGTGGAGAATAAGTACGCGAGTAACTCAGGTAACTCTGGTACAATCTAAGGAAAAGTCAGTGATGTGACTAGAATCCCGTTTGACAATTCAGATTGAAAAATAACATACATCCTGAGAATACCACACCAATTCATCCCCTATTTTATGGGGTGAAGGGTGGAAGGCTCAAGAGGACAAAGTGAGAAAATTGTGATGACAGCCTTCCACATGCAAATAAACAAGTGATGACTTGAAGCTTGGGCCACATGGGTCCATAGCAGCAAGGCTGATGAAAGCAAGGGTCGCACCTAGAGAACAACACGTCTCAAATGAGTTGACAAAATATTCTCAGAGCTTCAACGAATGACACTGTAAGGACTTTTCGTCAATTAACATGTTTAACGCTCTTAATCGGTTTATTTCCCGATTGGATTCGGACTCTCCCGTACACCAAAACCGGGACAATCATAGCGCATTCGGATTCCAAGTCCTCAGAAACAAGACTCCAGAACTAGCTGTCGAACCCTGGTTTGATTTTATTGTAGGAATCAATGGACGAATGATTGTGAGTTCTCTATTTGAATACTATTGACATAGCTAACTAGTTTCAGGATGATTCTGATGCAAATCTCTTTGCACAAGAAGTACGGAATTGTGCTGGAAGTACAGTAACTCTCGGTCTGTGGAGCGCAAAGGTATTCCCTCCCCTCTAGCTCGTTCGTTCGAGCAACTAACATATCCAGGGCCAACGCACACGAACTATTCATATCCCAGTACCTTCCGATACTCCATCTCTAGGCTTGACCCTTCAATGGACTTCCCTCTCTACCGTTTCGAATATATGGCATATTTTAGATGTACCTGCCAACTCTCCAGCCGATCTCGCGGGACTTCTTCCTTACAGTGACTATATTCTCGGCACACCCGAAGGAGTTTTACACGGAGAGAGTGGCTTGGGTGAACTGGTTGAGGATCACATCGGACGACCATTACGACTTTATGTTTATAATAATGAATACAACGTTACAAGGGAGATTACTATACATCCAAGCAGAGACTGGGGTGGAGATGGGGCGCTAGGTTGTACTTTGGGGTATGGAGCATTGCATAGATTGCCAGCCCCACTAAGTGAGCCCGTCGCTGGACCAGGAGAAACACTGTTTGAAGGAGAGAGCGCGAGGTTTTCAAATGAGGAACATCGGGAGAAAATGGGAAGTGAAGGTGCCTCAAGTCAGCTCTTTGTGCCAGCTGCTGTGGCAGAAGAACCAGGTGAATTCTTGGTGCCGGCTCAACTTGCGGCCCCTGCATCCACGACACCGGCAAGGAAGAAAGAGAAGAAACATGCGCACAATCCGAATAATTTCATGGATGACTATTTTATGGAAGGAGAGAAAAAGAGTAGAGAACTAGATCATGCGCCGAGCACGAAGACTGGTGGTGTGCCTCCACCTCCTAAGGCAGGAGGACCCCCAAGAGCCGGAACGCCCAAAGTAGCAAGCCCTAAGCCCAGTCCAGTACCGGCAGAGACGAAAGATCCGTATGATAGTGGTGTTGATTAACTGTTCGAGATACTTCTAAATTTATAGCCAGTATTTCACGCTCAACATGCGAATGTTACATGAATAACACCGTTATAGCTCATAAAATGGGAATATATAAACTCCTGCTTTTGGTAATCCTACAGCCTCCACAAAGTCTGTCCTCTCATCTTCAATCGCATCCCCCTTACCTAATATGTACACATCTAGTTGATGAAGTTGACACAAAAGAAATGTAGAATCAAACTTCCAAATACGTAATCTGCAAAAGCCCTATGTATGTTGTTAGCAGCTCTCCAATTTACCACTGAATGAGAACTATGTACCTCTCTGGAGACACCGAGTTAAATTCTGCCTTGTTCTCCTCATTCGTCTGTATGCGTAATGAAGCCGTCAAAACAAATTGTCCTACAGTTGCCGAGAATCCAGAAAGAAAAGCGTTAAATGGCTATTGTGATTGGTATGTTAGCACAAGTCTCCCTTCTTTATACCACATAATTGCTGCTGCTTGCTTCCCATATGTTTCCTCTATACCCGTATATCCAAAGTACAAAATATGACCTACGTAATTGCCAGCCAAAATACAGTAGACAAATTGTAGAACCCCCACTACGACCAAAAATGACATGAACACATCAATTAACTTTGTTCTCTGTGGTGTTTTATCGAGGTAATTCTGCCAGATACCAATGGCCACTTGCTGTGGCGATTGATTTTGCGAAGAGGATCTGGAGGGTATCTTAACAGGTGTGGAGGAGGGTATTGTAGTTGTAGTCGGGATTTGTGTAGTGGGTGGTGCGACGGGAGCAGCAGCGGCGGCGTTCTTTTTGGGCGCCATTTTTAATGGTCGAGAGTAGTTTGTGTGGGAGGAAAGAACGTGAGATTCGTGATGTAATTGGAAACGTGCGATGGTTGTGATTGTGAATTTGTAAATTTTGGCTCAAGAGCTCGAAGGCCACGAAGCTTGTTGCGATTACTATGGAGATGTGGTCTAGCGTTTACAGGGGTTTTCTGCATGGGGGAAGAACCGAGGGGTATAGCTTCCGTCATTCAATCTAGCTTTATAATGAAGAAGAGGATATCACGGAACTACCAAGAAATATCGAAACACGAAACTTTTCATCAACTAATCTAAATCTAATTCAATTGCGAACCGCAAATATGGTGGGTTATAGATATGCTATACTAATGATCTTCATTACGCTAACAGAGCCTAGGGAATTGAACTACCAGCTTATATTCTTGGCGCACTCACTGCGGGTGGTGGAACGATGGGTTATGTCAGGACTGGAAGTGTCCCATCTGTCGCCGCAGGTCTCACTGTTGGATCCTTGTACCTCTTGGGCGGTTATCGTATTCAGAACCGCCAATCTTATGGTGTTGAGTATGTCTTTTGATCCGTCCTCTATACCTCATCATCTACCCTGTTCCGAAGCTTATGTTGCTTTCTACAGACTCGCTCTACTCGCATCTATCGTTCTCGCAGGCTCCTCTATCCCAAGAGCAATTCGCACCCAAAAGCCACTGCCGGCTGGGTTGAGTCTTCTCGCCATATACGGACTCTTCACCTTCGGCAATGCATTCAGAGCGCAAAAGTAACAATAGATCTAACTGGGAGTGCACCAAGATCTATCGAGTGTGGGTAATATTTTTAAGTGGAATAATAAGAATCTTTTCAAGCTTCACTGTAGATTCATTATAATGATTGAGTGGAGTTGAGACCCGCGGAGTAAAAGCACTAAACAAGGCTCCTACTCTATGTGCTACACGCCTCTCTCCTGTCAAATCAACTCATTGTATCCCTATGGTATACGATCTCAGGATGCAATGTCAATAAAATTCGACATGCAATGATGTCCGAACGCCCCGCCATCGTAAATCAACGCCGCTTCACCAAATACCAGTCCGATCCAGTCCTTTAAACATATCTGCGCAGTCTGATTTGTGTATATTATGATGCCTCATCTATCTCTGCCCATTTCGCTTTGATTTTCTCGTTCTTGACTTTGGCAGCTTCCCGATTTGCCGCCGTTCGTGCTAGCCGTTGTGCCCTTAGACACTTGTTGACTGCTGTCTTTTTATCGTTGCACATTCCCATACACTTCCATAGGAATCCTCGAGCATGGCATTCATCCAAGGCTGCCATGACTTCCTCGCACGCTATTGAACGTTAGAGATCGTCAAAAATGATGAGATGAGCTCTTCCAAAATGCATGTGTGAAGTTCGCAGGAGAGTAAGAGGTTGAAATAATACCTGCGGAATTGTCTTTGGTCCATAAATGGTGATGCATTTTGTAATTGTTTCTCGGATGTGATATTCCAGATCAATGTTTGTACTGGACAATGATTAATAGCATCTAAAATTGTTCGAGAAGCACTTCGGAAATTCACAAGTCATATTTCTGAATGACGGTGGAAAGCGGCAGAATCAATTTTAGTGTAGGCCCCGCGCTCATCATTTCAGAATGACATATTATTTAGTTACTTCCTCAAACCTCCTTAAACTCTTTTGAAATCCTAAGGAACAATACACACATTGATATCTTGAAATCGTATTCTGCGAAGAATGGCGCAGCAAATCACGGCCCGCAAGCAGCAAGGTACAAAAACCCTATTACATATCGGAACCATCAAAACTAACTGTTCACAAGAGCTTCAAAACCAGTACACAAGCTACAAAAATGGTCTGCAGCAAATAGCCTCAAAAATTGGTGACGTAGAGACAGAAGCAGAGGAGCACAAGTGAGTTCCAGATTTGTTTTTCACTCCTCACAGGGAGGCATCGCTTCCCCAGGCTTGGGGTATCATGAATGCACATTTAGCAACTCAAAATCTCACCGCTTGAAAGCCTCATGCTCACCGCCATTATTCCAATAGACTTGTTCTCGAAACGCTTGAACCTCTTCCTGGCGACCGAAAGTGCTTTCGAATGATAAATGGTGTGTTGGTTGAGCGGACTGTAAAAGATGTGGTGCCGGCTCTGAAGACAAACTCTGAAGGTCTACGGAAAGTCCTGGAGGATTTGGTCAAGCAATACAACAGCAAACAATCTGAGATGGAGAAATGGAAGGTACTGAAGCATCAATTCCCTGGGTTGGTAGAAATCACCTGCTGACGAGTGTCGTTACACAGAAGAAGAACAACATTCAGGTCGTGCAGCAGTGATAGCGTCGGCACTTGTCACATATTTTGGAGTATCGGCGTTGCATCAACAACAAAGATGGGTGAAATCTACTTTGGCTTGTAAGGCGGTCAATAAGGAGGCAAGGACTTGCCGGGCCATTCTTCTGCATAATGGGGAAGTAAATTTGACATACGCGGGAAAGCATTCATGCCCAAGATCTCGACTTGTCAGAAACTGAGTTACCCTGAAGGCTGTGATATTCTTATGTGCATCATGAGAGCTCTGTACGACGTCATAGTAACATTGGATTGCTCGTAAATCGGTGGATAAATGAGAACATCTAGACCCGATATATTCAGATTACTGATTGTTTTGATGCGCTGTAGAACAACCACTCAAGTGAGGCTCCTGCGGCTGAGCCTGAGTCCTGGAATTTCATGGCGGCTCGCGCCTCAGCACCCAACGAGAACGCCTCGAGTTGACGTCCTTGATGCCCAATCAAAAAGGGCTGCCAGAAATGAGAGGACCCGATGTGTCCACCTTTTTGGCTAAGTTCGCATGAGAAGCGCGGTGTGTTGTTCAATCACCGTCAGGCTGACCAGAACCCTGCATCTGCAGAATGATGTCCGCTGTGGGGTGTGAAGCAGGATGGATATGGTTCGTTTCGTATGTATGAATGGATGACGAACATAATACTTCTGCAAAGAGACGGATTTGATGTCTATTTTCAGAAATACGACAATGACAGCTACCTTCGCGATATACTCATCTCCAGGCAACTCCTTACGCGTCCTGCTATTCAAATCTTCCCTCTGAAAACTTGAGTTGTGTTTTGATTGTGGAGCACTCCCATGTGGCCTTCTCCTGTTGTGTACACGTTCAATCATACCTGTTTCATCAACGTCGATGAAAACACTTTGAAGCAAAGCAAGGGAATAAGTTCAAGACATTCACAAGGACCTACGTAGATGCCTTCGCTATCATCCCCATCGCCTTACCCATGGACTTTACCCACGTCTTGGATGTTATACCACGTAATACCGAGCTCTGAGACTCACAGCGAGAGTAGAGTGGGAATATTTGGTGATATCAATGCACATACAGTACAGCTCGTGGGATGGCACATCAATTCACTAGAAAGAGCGATGCGAGGGAGAAACAAACAAGGCTTCATCGGTTGAGCGAAGATAGGATGTGATGAAAGGTGCAGCTGATAGGCTGCATATAACTTGAATAGTATTGGTCGGCTGAGTGAATAGTAATGCTATTGCATATGGGATAATAATAAACTATTGGAGGGGGGAGAGCACGAAGGTCTGCCATAATTACTTCACTCCCGAATCAATGCAGTTGAAATTCCAATTCATTTGAAATGAAAGTGACCAATAGTAAAATTAATTGGAACTTGATTTATTCATTGGAAGATGAACATTAAAGCCATGGAAGCCGAATTATCCATTCACGTACCTTACCGTATTCCGAGAAAATCTCCAAGACGATCCCATCAAGCCTTGCTTCTTGTACCTGACGTCTGGATGCTCGGTCGGCCTTCACCCGCCACCATTCATGGCACGAAGCAAAAATTAACCGGCATGGAAGGGAATCTTTGCGCGTTCATATATAGACATTTTTTGTGATTGTAAATTGATGGCTAGCATAGCACATTTATTAATGTCAGTCAGAAGAAGATGAGCAGTGGTGTATCCCCGCATTGTAAAGTCGACATACTAGGTACCTACGCACCCACCAATCTGTTTGGCTAGGTAGATAGTAGATACAGCTTTGATATCAATGGTGTCACTAATTCCCCTCCAAACTGCATTGCACCACCTCTAAGGTAAGGTAGGTAGGTAGTTACCTTATTTACATACCTACAGCCTGACTGCCTGCTTTATTGATGTAGGATACTACTACACATGGTGTTTTCGTTCCTATTGCATATTTCCCAGCATCTATCAAATCAAATGTTGGTAATGTAACAGTAATAAGTCTTGCTACAATTCTATAGTTCTACTCTACCTGATTCTAGCAGAGGGTTAACAGATCTAATAGTTATTGCATTTTAGCTTGATTTTGATTTTGATTTTGCCCTTTGAAATGTAAGAATTTTACAAGCTGTGCTGTCCCCCAGGTATACTCCGCATTCTTGCTCACTCACTATTCCTACATACTACCTTTATCCCGCCACCCTTGGTTTTGTTTGGTGATGGATTCACCTAAGTACGGGTTACGGCCCTTCAGGAAGAAGCTCGGAGCTAGCTGTCCCTAGAATTCATAGCTCCCGCTATCTACCTTAAAAGGTAAACAACTTATTATTATTTTTCAATTATTTTACCATCATAACCAAAATAAAGCTGCCCAAAGGCTCAAGCTTCCATCCTACAACACCACATCCAACATCCTACAACTTATCCTACCATACCTACTCACATACAATCAATCAACTTCTCTTGTCATTCATCCAGTCAACCCCACGTTTCTGCCTTTTACATGCACGCGCATTATTTTATTTATTGTCTTGCAGATTCATAATCATAGAAACACAAGGCGCATTCGTGCAGGAAGTCTTTGAATATCTCCGACTCGAACTAAAGTGGGTAAGCCTTCTTTACAATTCACACCAATTTCTCAACCCACCCTTCTATCCCCGAAATTTTTGTAAACCCTCTGACGCGATTTATGCAGTAGGATACCTGCAGCCCAGCCCAGAAAGTGATACACTTTTCAAGAGACCCTAGTTTCATACGGAGGCGCACACCCCATCTAGTCGCGTCTTTTCGGCAACATCCAGCTAGGTAGAGTAAGCACATTGGGAAAAGAAGGCTGTCTGCTCGAGGATCGACGCAAGTCAACACGCAGATACGCATAACTGCGAGATCGCAAGGCTTTACGACGTGTCCTACACATCATACGGCCGACGTGGCAACCAAGGAATTTTGAGGAAGCGGCTATCCGACACCTGCACCTACCCAAATACATCATGTCCAATTCCCCTCCAAAGGAAACGGACGTTGAACAAGGAGTCTCGCCAGATGACACGGATGCACAAATGAATGAACATACGGATCCACACGCTCCTGGAGGCTATGAGTTCGAGGTCAAAGAACAAGATAGATGGCTCCCTATAGCAAATGGTTAGTTAATGATTTTTTTTTTGTCATTCATCTTCCTAGAATTGAGCTTGTGTGATTTCCTATATCGAAGTTATTTGTGACTGGTATCGCTTCGTCGATCACACCAATTACACGCGCATGTCCTCGCCATTGGACCAGTCAAGAGCTTGGGGCACAAACGCTTCAATCTAGCGGTGCCACTGTGGTCATACATCCTATCATGTCCCACACTTCTTCTCAATCACCGGAGACGCGCGGCGCCTCTAAGGGAGAAAAATATGATCTTGGTCATTCAGAAGCTAATATTCGTAACTTTGCGCCAGTTGCCCGTATCATGAAGACGGCTCTACCTGAAAACGCAAAGATTGCAAAGGAGGCCAAAGAGTGCATGCAAGAATGTGTCAGCGAGTTCATCTCATTCATCACAAGCGAAGGTATGTCTCGGTCCGAGATTCAAGACAAATCGTGTACAGTCCTAATTATCCTATCATAGCCTCTGAGAAATGTCATCAAGAGAAGCGCAAGACCGTCAATGGAGAAGATATTCTCTTTGCCATGACGTCTTTGGGTTTCGAGAATTATGCTGAGGCGCTCAAGATCTATTTATCAAAATATCGAGAAGTGAGTTATGTCACTCATTCAAACATCCTTTAGCATCGACCTATGATCTATGCTTACTCGGCCCCCGATGTACAAGACTAATGCAAAGTTCTAGCAACAATCAACTCGTGGAGACAACCAAAACAGACCTGGTAGCTCCGGCTTTGGACCTGCTGCTGGAGCAGCTTCCGCAAATGCAACTTCAGCAACTTTTTCGGGTGGAGCAGAGGGCGCCAACAATGTCCTCACTGGCCAACAGGTAGAAACCGAACACGATAACAGTGCTTACGTATATGGAGGCGGCCACAATGGTGCTGCTGGTGGAGAAGGCTACTAGGTGTTTTATTCAGGATTCAAATTGACTATTTCGGATGAGCGAGGACTTCCAAGGGGCGAAAGAAATCCATAGGGAATTACATTTCGAGAGTGTATCAACTATATGTAAAGGTGTTGGGAAGGGAGGGACTGGGCGGGTGCTACACGGGCCACTTTTGATATATCCAGATCGCTTAGCTTGTACATGAAGGGATAGGGTCAAAAGTAATGGGGTGTTTTTTGATGCTTTATTAGATTTGTTGGCTCTTGAGAGTAAGACCCATAACCTCAGCGGTTCGGTCTCAGAGTAGCTCAGAGATGGTCGGGATGACATTGAGCAGTATGGATAGCATGAGATGTAGGTTAAACAGCCGCGCATCAGATTGCCAGAATAATATCACATATCTTATGGCTTGTATATCAGGTTAAAAAAAAGGAATATGATACATCAACACTTACTGCCTTGAATGTTTGAAGCACTTTGGAATCCTCCATTTCATTATTTACAAGCTTGAACCATGTGATGTTCAGTGCCCAAATGTTGCCGAATATCGCAAATTGGTTGCACTGCTAATGTATGTACTAAGCAAACCGCTCCGAACCTATGATATTGATGATAAGCAGTGGCTAGCGGAGGAGGGGCAAAACCTGGGGTAATCATGTGACTTGGATCTAAAATAATTTTACCTGGGAAAAGCACACGAGCGAAAACCTCCATTACCAACCGCAGCCTTACTCCGACACAACGATAGTTCTTAGCACAGCGCATTTATTTCTCCCTTAATTATTAATGAACTCACTGTTATTTTATTTCTCCTTGCAAATTCTTGCAATATGGGTGTCTCTTACCTCGGTCGATCGCTCAACACCTGCCACCGCAGGCAGCAAACCACTCTTAAAGACTACAATGTCAGGCACGATCAGAAAAGCTCAAGATGCAGATCTAGACGACGATCTAGAAGTACCGAACCCGAAACGAGCGAGAGTATCTTTCAATCCCAAGGTCGAGGAAAAGGTATTAGAGGAATATGTCCCGAAAGGTACAAGCTTAGAAAGCGTCAGAGCGGAAGTCAAACGCGCAATAGAGGCACACGGTAAAGGTGACAGCGAGAGGTACGATAGCATTAAAGAAGTGTTCGCACAAAGTGAAGGTGATGAGAGAGATGATACTGGCGCAAATGATGAGGTCAAAACATATCTACTAGCCCTCACTAGTTATGCATCACTATTGAATAAGGACTGCAATGGCTTAGTTAAGGCTATATTGAAGTGTGACTGGATGGGCAGAGACGAGGGTTTCGTGAAGCTGTATGCTCAATTCCTCGGAAACTTAGTTAGTGCACAAGGAGCGTATGTCGGCTTGGTGCTTGGAATGCTTATTGATAACTTCATTGGAGGCAAATTACCCATCACCAGTATCCCAGGCTCTGCTAACAAGAATATAGTGCGATTATCGAGCGGGCGTCTTCCTGGCTGCCCAGATGTTAGTCGCGATACGCTTTCATCAAGAGTCCACTTTGCATTGAAATACCTTCTTCGATTGATCCCCTCCGCCAGCGCTACACTCTCGCCCATTCTTTCGGCTAAATTTCCTTTTGCTGATGAATCAAAGAGGGTGCATGTTACATACATTAATAATCTAGTACGCCTTCTCGAGTATGCTCCCGAGTTAAAGTCAGATGTTTTCGCTCTCATAACGGACAGGCTGGTCAAGATTGATGTGCAGATGCAAGTCGACCTAGACGATGTGGATGATGAGGTTGCAGGTGCTATTGTTCAAGCTCTCGCCATGAATCCTAAACAGGGAGAAGATGATGATGAAGACGCAGAAGATTCAGATGACAGCGATGCCGAATCGGTCAACAGTGATGATGCAACGGGAGATCAGGCAAAACGAGCCAAAGAAATTCAAGGAAGCGTTGAGAAGATGGATGCGATACTGGATCGCTTATTTGCTATCTACGATCCTTATTTCACAGATCCAAATAGCATAGAAGCCGCAAATATGTTTGAGACTTTACTAGGACATTTCGCGAATATCATTCTACCTACATATAGATCTCGACACACACAATTCCTACTCTTCCATTTTGCTCAAAAGTCGGAACATCTAATTGATCAATTCGCCGGAACCTGCGTGCAATTGGCATTTCAACCTGGCAGACCTGCCGTCCTTCGGCAATCTTCCGCTGCTTATCTTGCCAGTTTTGTAGCGCGAGGTGCACACGTCGAACCTCAAGTGGTTCGGACCGTTTTCGAGCTCATCGGGAGCAATCTGGATCACATCCGCACGGAAAACGAACTCAACTGTCGGGGACCTGATCTCAAGAAATACGGCACTTTCTATGCCATGACACAAGCTCTGCTTTATATCTTTTGTTTCCGCTGGCGAGATCTCATCGACTCTTCCGAGGTTTTTGACGACGAAGACCCTGCAGCATTCATTGGACAAGATCTTGTTTGGACGGCAGGTATCAAAGAGACTCTTTCCCGTGCTATCTACTCCAAACTTAATCCTCTTAAAATCTGTTCCCCACCCATCGTTTCCGAATTCGCCAAAATTGCACATCATCTACGTTTTATGTACGTATATTCTTTGCTAGAGACCAACAAACGTATTCGTTTAAGTCAATTTTCAAGTGCAGTCGGAAATGGTGCATTACGGGACTCTGGAAATGGCGCAAGCAATGATAGCTGGCATCAATTGGATGCCTACTTTCCTTTTGACCCATATCAATTACCCGTTTCAAAAAAGTGGATTGAAAACGACTATGTGCAATGGCAAGGTATTCCAGGACTCAACAAGGATGAAAGTGATGATGGTAGCAGTGGGGATGAAGACGACGAGGAAGAGGATGAGAATGAGAATGCGCTTGAAGACGATGACACGGCAACTGACGAAGAAGCGGAAGATTGAAATTCACCATGGAGTCCGATGTTATGTCATTTTTCAAAGCAAGGAGTTTTGACTACCATTTATACTATCGGAGTTCTATCTTTTGGGATTTTCGGGTGCACATATGACTCTTTCAGCGAAGGTGCAGGAGGAAAATGGTCAACACAAGCGGGCGTTTCATTATTGCGTTGGGAAAAGTCTGGCGCTGGCATCACTGGCGTTCGATACTTGATTTTGGAAATTCCCACGAACGGGATGAATCATGGGGCTCTTTTACATTGGGGGGCCGGGGGTGGATCAGCGAACACATGGGGTGATCAGTCAGTGGTGCACGAAGCTTGCGCAGTAGACTTGTTTGTCATTCGATTCTGCCTCAGAAATTGTGATATAGCACATATAGACCCTGCTAATTGTGGGCAGCACACACATCAGGTTGGTATCTGATCAGCTTCATGCAAGAAATAAACAGCCCAGGAAGAGCCAAAAATAAAAGTACCTTAGAAACGAACATGCTCGTCTTGTTACCTACGTAATTTGAGTTATTTGACAAAACCATTCATCCCCTTTGTCTTTTTTTCACTTGAAATTAGAATTGGAAAATGAAGATGAAGATTGGCTTATCTTCCTTTTGCCATTTTTGAATACGTGTAATTGTAGCATGTATCTATCTTGTATTATGTATTTGTATAAAACGCTTCTTGTGGCTGGATAATTTTGAAAATCGATTTTGTGGATTGTAAAATAGATAGTATTATGTTATGGTCTTTACAGGGATGGAGATGAGGTGAAGAGGGAGAGGGAGAGGGAGAGGGAGATAAGTAGTTTGGATTTGGGTTTGGAGATTTTAATTGGGAGATCTAGTTTGGATTTTTTGTGGAGGGTGTAGAGTTTGTGGGAGTGTAGAACGTAGGGCAGTATGTATGAACTTGTTGAAGATTCGCACATGGTATAGTAGATTAAAATGGGGTAATGGATATTG